CGACCAATGCAGTAGCTTTTCGCCCGATTATAATGTAGTTATATAACGTAATCAAAGTATGATTTTGCTAAATTAAAGATTAATATTTTCTTTTATACGTTTCTTGGTTTTTTTGTTAATAACGTATCCAAAAAAAAATTTCCGGGGGGCAGCCCCCGTTGGCCCCCACCCCTTCACCTTTACCTCTAGGCCCCCCATACGTTCAAAGTCTGGCTCCGCCCCTGTCCATGGAGACAAAACTTTCACCTACCGAGAAAATCTAAGACATTGCAGACGAACATCTCACGAACCTCAAGGCGAAATTGTATGAATGCTTGAACTGGTTACCCCAAGCAAGAGAGAGCCAATAGGTAACCCAATTAACACTTAACAAATGACTATTAGCAAGCAAAATTAATAGCAACTTTGAAATTGGACGAATTCTCTTCAGAAACCGAGCTCTATTGTGAAGTCTTTGTCAACTTTGCCTTTACAAGTCTGTCTAAAATGGGTGGTTTAAGAGGAACTGGATCGAGACAACGTTCTGTAGTAGCATCAATCACCTGCTCAACCAAATACATGACACTTATCAAGTCAAAGAAGAAACTTTTTGAAAGTATTCATTTAAATCAATGAAAAAGATGATCATTGAATATTTGTCATTGAACTTAAACTATTCCTCCATTTATGTATTGTTTTTAAAAGCGAAATTGCTCCATTGGTCACCAACATATTGTCTCAACTCTCAAAGAGGAACAAGTCGGTCCATGACCTTTCACTATAATTGCACGGGCAATGAACCCATCCCAATCTCAACTGTGCTACCAGAAGCTCAAGGGATAACAAATAGAAAAGTATTGAACTTGGGGCGAACCTACTACTTAGACGAAATAGTCTAAATTTTGTTTAATTTGATGTGACCCTCACGGAAATATATATTGCTTCAATTTTTTTGGCACCAATCCAAGTTGGAAAGCACAACCTAGCTTAGTAGAGTTGGACATGCAAGGGCCACATGATGACTTGAACAAAAAATTGGCTTCTTACCTCATCAAGCAAGAAATCAATTGCAGCTTCATCCTCGGCAATATCCCTTAAAGTAGATTTCAAAAACTGAATATCCAACTGAATTTGTTGGAATCCACTTCGATTGAATGTCTGAAGTCTGACTAACTCTTGCAAACTCTTTAAAGAAAGTTTTGCTATGGTTGTTATGACAGATTCCTGCAAAAGTAATGGCAATCCTGTTTCAGTTTTATCACCGTACAAATACACCTTATTTATC